GTCGGTACGTGGTCGGGGATCCAGAGTATGCCACTGCTAGCATCGTATATAAATAGCGACACGGTGGAGAAAAAGTGGTAAAAAGTTGGATATCCTTGTACTATTTCGTAGCGAAGACAAAGATGGAGTTGGCGCTTAAAAGAGCTTTTTGCGGCGCTAACGGCCCGTTCCCAGTAACTTGTTTATACTAGTGCTGTACTACCGATACTACATGTGTAAATCTCGTCCGTTCATGGCTCAGGGACCGACCACCTTGAGATCACTGCCTTATCTCTCGATCAAAATGGATCCGACCAACGGTATTGCAGCTTACATAGCCTTTCCGACCGATTGGGACCGTTGCAATGATCCTACCGTAACCATACATGGCTTGTGTTGCCGCTTTCAGCCCCCACAATCAAGTTTGGCGTGCGTTTGTCTTATAAGACTTGCAGCCCCCACAGTTGAGTTCGGCATACGTCGTCTTCTAAGACTTGCATCTGAGCAATTTTATTGCTGCGCCTTGTTGCCTGGGTACAATGATATGCCTTGATATGGCTGTGGGGATGATTATGTGCAACATGATTGGGAGTCATACGGAAGACAAGGCAAGATTGACGTATATAGAAGGTCGGGTATATATCAAGTGACATCTTATTCGTCGTTTCATCATAAGTGTTGACAGTCAGGCCCTTCTCGTGATTAAAGACTGATGTTTACCATCATCCGAGAAACATAACTTGCTATACTCATGTTTTGTCCCATTCAATTTTCCCAGAGAAGTCATTGAAGATGACATCCGCCTCAGTCGACGCTGGCATCCATCGTGCTCTCGGTCTGACCGAGAGCTTGTCAATCAATCTTAAGAATGGCCCCTGTATGGACGCGATCCTTTATACAAGGTCCCTTCTAGATGGACTGTGGCAACTCCATCCCGCGACTATATTCGGTTATCTAATCATAGCTTCGATCACAATCTACGCCGTGGCCGCCGGTATTTACAACAAATTCTACCATCCTCTCGCCAGATTTCCGGGCCCATTTTTGGGCGGAATAACTTCATGGTACCTTGTCTATGTGATATGTTCGGTCCCCACTTATGGCTTGGAACTACACAAAAAATATGGTAGGTTGCTCTCTTTTCGGAACGAATACTATAGCCAATTTGCTGACTGTTTCAGGACCCATTGTACGATTGGCCCCGAATATGCTGTCGTTCAGCGATGCCACTCTGTTACCAATAGTCTACAACTCAGCCGCCGATAAGCCTCGATTTTATGACTCTTGGATGTTTGGCAAAACGGCGGCCATGTTCCAGTCATTAGACCATCGTGCCCACTACGCGAAGAAGCGCTTGGTTGCCCCATGCGTATGTTGACTCAAGACTTATACCGATGCATGACAATAGCTAAGGGATTTGTTTGACAGTGCTCGATGAACGCGATGAAGACTCTCCACGAGAAGAAGATAACCGAGCGCATTGACGAGCTATGTGAAAAGATTTATGAGAGGTCGACGGTGAAAAAGCAACCCTTGGACTTCTCAGAGTATCTCAGGTACGGACAATAGGACCCACTCTCCAGATCGGCTGAACGCTGACATGTACAGATTTTTCTTGAGTGATGTATGGAGCCATCTTGTCTATGGTCAGCCCAAGGGCTTTGTGGCCGAGGGCCGCGACGTTCAAGGTCTCTTGGCGTCAATCCAGGGTGTTTACAGCATGTCTGCAAAGGCGGCAGTCATGACGTGGCTCACACCGCTGCTGCAAAATCCATGGCTGAGGAAGCACTTGTGGGCGCATACACAAACATTCAAGTGCATGGACAACTTATACTCAGTACGCTTCCTAGACTCACTGCATCCTCCAAGCCGCTAACACAAACAGAATTTCGAAACAATGCTGAGTCGACGAGAGTCCAACGAGAAATTGAAGGGTGAAAAACTCTTCTTTGACGAGTAAGATGACTTGTACCCGCTCTAGTCATGATGTCTTCTAACGCAACATAGTCTCTCGCCTGAGAAGAACCCCAATGAGTTTCAGTTTTCCAAAGAGGATCTGAAAGCAGAAGTAATCACCTTTACCGCCGCCACACTCGATGGCGTCTCAGCCTTCATATCGCCCCTCATCGATAACCTGCTCACACACCCTGCGGAATACGCTCGTGTAGTGGCCGAGATACGCGCTGCCGACCGTGCGGGCCGTCTTAGCTCCCCAGTGGTGTCTTACGAGGAGACGACCGAGCTGCCATTCTTCATGGCATGCATCAAGGAGACGCTGCGTAGAGACGCGCCTGCCCAGACGATTCTACCCCGGATTGTCAGCAAACCGGGCTTTGAGCTATTTGATGGTAAAGTCTACGTCCCACCGGGCACGCAAATGGGGGCCAGTCCCTACATCATCCACCGTGACGAAGAGATCTTTGGCAAGAACCCCGACGAGTGGCAACCTAAGCGGTGGCTTCGGGAAGAATCAGGTCTGTCGCGCGAGGCCCACGATGCGCAGATCAGACGTATGGAGAAATATGGCATGTGGTGGGGCTATGGCGCCCGTGAGTGTACCGGAAAGTACTACGCCACGATGGAGATGCAGAAGCTTTGTGTCGAACTGCTGAGACGCTTTGATATCCGGGAAGCACCTGGGAAGCGCTTCACCCATGCGCGTTGGGCAGTTGGTATGTTTTGGGGCCAAAAGCTCATATTTGAGGATGCCAAGCGCAAGTGAACAGCAGCTGGATGTAACATTTAACCGGGTATGTCCAAAGTATGGACACTGGGATGTGAGGTGTTTTCCAGTCCTGGCCTATGAGTCATCAAAGAGGATGGCCAATAAGGCACAAGGAATAGCACAGATACGCTGAGATCAATGACAGTCCAGTTGCTTGCCTTGTCAACGAGGTATAAATATGAGACAGACAGCAAAGTTTTCTTGGGGCAATAGTCGAAAGTCACCATTGTGAAGAAGGATGTTGGCTTCAAGGTTTTTCATAAGCTAAGCAGCCTAGCTATGTGATATTTGTTATGGCTGTCAGTAGGAGTTGAGCGTATAAAGGCAAGTGTATATTGCTGATTCATATAGTCGTAATGCTATCCTTGCGACTTTCCACAAACCTCCTTGCCTTGTTAATTGATACGACTTGTAACCAAAATAAAGAGTCAAATTAAAGATGGTCTACATCCACGAAACTAATGTGTTAACAAACAGACTTGATAACCCTTCCCGTTGTGTCACCCGAAGGGTGCCACGCTACACAGCCACATCTGTGGCGCATCAATAGCAATTCATAAGCGTTTCAATGCATCTAAGTTGTCTGTCAATCAAAATAGACACTCGTCTAATATGGAAGGAGTAGTCCTTTCTTTATTTCAAGAATCATACATGACGGTTTCTAAATTATACTCATGATCAAAGCTGCAAGTTGAACGACAAATGTAAACACAGACACACTGCGTTGACCTGGCTGAAGGGCCCATTTCGATTACTCCTTAGTCCAATCATACTGATCCAGAAACCATTTAAACAAATTCCAGACCGTCTTGGGCTCTTATTTAACGCCAACGTGCTTCTTCATGGCCTCTACATACTTGACCGTGTTGATGGTGACTGACGGGTCCTTGTGCCACTCCACAAGTTTGTTAAGGCTTATATGTTGCCTTTCCAAGGAACTATGATGTTGTCGGCTTGGACTAATCTTGGTCAAGAAATTCTTTAGGTTGGAAAGGCTTACATGTTTGTAAATGGGTATTCCTGGTCTTCTTTCCAGTGTCGTGTCATCAAGTTGACGTTATTACCCCAAGATATGTGATGGAAAAGAATGTTTGTACAATGGCTGAGGTGAACTTCAAGGTCCGAATGATAAAGATCAGCCTTAGCTGACAGGAACATATGAGCAAAACTTGTTATGTCAATCGTGGCTTCAATGAACACAATGGCACAGGGTAAAGGAAGAACAATGTGTAGAGTCGTATCAGAACGACTCACAGACTTCTCCTTTCATAGTGCATAATTGTGATTGTGCAGAGCAGAGTACAGTCATGAACTAAGAAACTAGCCTGGCTTTTGATTGTGTTACATGGCATTAGTAGCTTGCCTCAAAGTATTTCGGAAAGAGGATTGTGGAAGACATTGAGGGTTACGCTGTAGACATCGTTGCCAAGCACCCAAATCTCAATGTCAAGCTTTGCGACCGTATGACTTGAACTTGGATAATAGCAGCATCTAAT